CAAGTTTAATCGTGGTGGTAAGTACGTTGTAATCACAGAAGGTGAAGTTGATGCTCTATCTGCGTATCAGATGCTGGATGAATACAACAAAAGCAAAGGCGGTGAAATCGAGACAGCCGTAGTTAGTCCTACGACTGGAGCCAACTCACATAAGCAAGTAGCAGCTCAGTTTAAGTTCTTTGACTCGTTCGATTGGATCATCATTTCGTATGACAACGATAAAGCTGGTCAAACAGCTACTGAAGCCTTGATTAAGGTACTGCCTAAGGGTAAGGTCAAGATCATGCCAATGCGCTTTAAAGATGCCAATGAGTACCTGCAAAAAGGCGAATCCAAAGCTTTCCTGAGTGATTTCTACAATGCGAAGAAACAAGTTCCTGTAGGTGTTCTACCTTCAAGTAATCTGTATGATCGTATTCTAGGTCAAACTGCAGTAGCCAAGATTCCATTCCCACCTTTCATGCAAAAGCTTAATGAGTTGTTTGTTGGTGGTATGCCGCTTGGTCATATCGTGAATATTGCAGCTGATACTGGTATCGGTAAAACAACACTGGTGAATGAGCTAATCTATTACTGGATTTTCAATTCACCTCATACAGTCGGCATTGTCTCGATGGAACTTGATGCTGGTCAGTACGGCGAAGTTTTACTATCTCGGCATTTGTCCAAGAAGTTAGCTCTGATCGAAGATACAGGTCAAAAGCTTGAGTATTTGAATTCTGATAAGGTTCGTGATCAAGCAAAGAACTTGATGACTACAGAAGATGGTGATTCTCGTTTCTATCTCCTAGATAACCGTGATGGTACTATCGAAGAGATTCAAGACACAGTAGAAGAGCTAGTTGCTGCGTGTGGTGCTAAGGTGATCGTTTTAGACCCCTTGCAGGACATTCTAGACGGTCTGAGTAATGAAGAGCAAGCAGAGTTCATGAAGTGGGCCAAAGGCTTTATTAAGAGCCACGGTGTGACGTTCATCTTTATCAACCACATGCGAAAGACTCCAGCAGGTCAAAGCGGTGCAGATAGTGAACAGAACATTATGGGTTCTAGTACTATTATCAAGTCAGCTTCAGCTAACATTTTGCTCAAACGAGACAAGATGGCAGAGAGTGAGCTAACACGAAATAGTACAGAAATTACAGTTACTAAGAATCGAGTATGCGGTCTAACAGGTCCAGCTGGCTTTATCTACTACGATAATGCTACACATACTTTATTTAGCTTAGAAGACTGGTTAAACAATCATTGATAGTTGACGTAAGCCTCAAGTTGTGATAGACTTGGGGCTTATTTATTTGGAAGGAAGACATGCGGTACATCATTGACATTGAATCAACAAATCTTTTGCAGAACGGTCTGGACTACTCTGCAATGCCCTACAAGTTGAAACCAGATTACAAAGTCTGGTGTGTAGTCGTGCGTAATCTTGATACCAAAGCTGTCGTGCATCTTGTAAAAGAAGAAATTACGCACAAGAATCTAAGCCGTATCCTTAGTGATTGCACTGAGTTGATCGGTCATAACATCATCTCTTTTGACTTGCCAGTCCTTATGCTGTATGGGGTACTGGATTACCGTATTGGCTATCCCAATCAACCGTCTACCTTGTTTGGTAAGCCTGTTACCATCACAGATACGCTATTATGGTCAAAATTGCTCAATGCTGATCGTCTTGGCGGACATAGCCTAGATGCATGGGGTAAACGACTCGGCAACAATAAGACGCATTTTGAAGAGTGGGATCGTTTCTCTCAGGAAATGCTGGACTACTGTATCCAAGATACTAGCGTCAATGCTTCTATTCTTGACGAGCTAATCAAAGAACAAGGCAAACATAATTGGACTCGTGCATACAGCATGGAGATTAAGCTTACCGATCTTACTTTGCGTCAAGAACTGTTTGGTTTCGACTTTGATTTAAACCTTGCACATAAGAATCTGCAAGAGCTAAATACCATGATGGAAAGCATCGCTAAGGCTGTCGATCCATTGCTACCAAAGAAGCGCATGACACAAGCTACAGCTGGCTTCTATGAACTGCCTAAAATCCGTTTCAAGAAGAACGGTGAAGTTTCAGCTAACCTTTTGAAATTCTGTGAAAAGACTGGTGCTGTACTGTCAGAGGACTTCAACACCATTACTTTTGAAGGTAAGGAATTTCCTATTACTACCCAAGAGCCTTTGAAGACAGAAGAGGATGCATGCATTGAAGATATCGATGTAGTTAAGGGTTATTTGATTTCACTTGGTTGGGTTCCGTCCGAAGTCAAAGAGCGTGATATTGTCAAGAAGACTGACAAGAGCGTCCGAGATTACAACGGCATTATCGAGTCAATTGATCGCTATGTTAAACAGACTGAAACATCTGTGTTCAGAGACTTGCGCTTGGAATTGCTGGATGTAAAGATGGAGAATCTTCGTGCATTCTTGCTCAAGAAAATCAACGGTTCCAAACCAATCTATTTGCCAACTACTCCAAAGCTGACAGTAGGTGTTGAAAAAGAAATCTGTCCTAACCTAATTGCTCTTGGTCAAAAAGCTGAGTTCGTAAAAGACGTTGTGCATTACTACACATACCGTCACCGCAAGAACTCTATTGCTGGTGGAGTATTGGATGAAGATGGTGAGCCAATGACAGGCTTTATTAGTGCTGTGCGAGAGGATGGACGTATCCCTACCCCTGCAGACACTCTAGGAGCTAACACAGGGCGCTATCGTCATAAGATCGTGTGCAATGTACCTCGTGTGACTTCACTATATGGTGAGCAAATGCGTAGTCTGTTTGGATGCGGTCGTGGACTATGGCAACTCGGTTACGACTTCGCATCTCTTGAGGCACGAGTAATGGGGCATTATGTTTTGCCTTATACAGAAGGTGCTGAACTTGCTGCAGCTTTGGTTGCAGAAAAGCCCAATGACATTCACAGTATTAATGCTCGTAAACTTGGTATTGATCGTAACTCTGCCAAGTCGTTTAGTTATGCTGCGATTTATGGAGCGCAACCTAAAAAGCTATCTAAGATGCTTGGCATTACAGAAGCAGAAGGTCAGCGACTATTTAACGAATATTGGGATGCTGTACCTGCACTGAAAGAACTCAAAGAGAAAGTAGAACAGACATGGGAAGCAAGTGGCAAGAAGAGCATTCCGGGATTGGATGGTAGGAGACTATCAACTCGTAGTAAACACAGCCTTATTAACGTTCTATTCCAGTCCGGTGGTGCTATTGCTGCCAAGTGGTCTGCAGTGCGTTTAGCTCAAGCTATGGAAGAGCGAGGCATTTTAGGTGATCCATTTAAGGATACAATCGAGGATGTAAAAGTCTGGTGGTTGATCCACATGCATGATGAACAGCAAATGGCTTGCCATCCTTCACTGATGACCGTCAAAGGCTTTGCAACTGAAGAAGAAGCTAAGGCTGCTTTGGTTGAAGGTTCTAGTGCAATTGGTCACGGTTCCAAAGGTGCATACGTAGGCTTCAAGACTGAACCTGTTGTTTGTATCGCAGAAGGCATCAAAAGTGCTTGCGAAGAACTCAAACTTCGTGTAGACTTAGGCTTCGAATGGATTCCCGGAAAATCATGGGGTCAATGTCACTAATGAAAGGACAATATGCGTAAGAATGATTTGATTGCTATGCTTAGTAAGCTAAAAGGTAATCCAGAGGTTGTACTTTGGAATGGTATGGTAGGTGATTACATGCCTATTGGTAAGCTGGTAGTAGGTGAGCTTTATAAGTACGATCCTAAGTACTATCTAGAAATGATTGAGTTTGAGATTAAGCGTGACAACAAGGACTGGAATTACAAGTTAACTTCAGAGGATATTGCAGATGCCATGCTTGATTATAAAAAGCATCACAAATGGGAGGAAAATCAGTTTGTAACTGCAGAAGATATAACAAAGAAACGTTGGAAAAAGAAACGGGTTGTTTATATCGATGCAAAGACAACGGGTAAAACTTACCATGATCGTCTAGGAAGTATTAGTTACTAATATGAACCGATACGAATATAACAAAGAGTACCAAACTCTTCAACAATACGATGAGAAAGGCATGTTGCGATCCAGCATGTCTATGCCTCAAGCCGATCTAAATAAATTGGCAAGTCTCAATGTAAAGATGAACATTTTGAGAAAAGTTGATGTACAATCTGAGCATTCTACGAAAGGAGCTACAAATGGTTGAACTTAAAATTGATGGAGTGACAACGGATTTTAAACAGTGGAATTTTCCAGCTGGAGAAGTTGGCGTACAGATTCCACAAATCTCTGAACAAAATAAAGTCCAAGTTTGGATGCGTATGCCTTCTTCGGATGATATTTTTGTATGCTTAAATATTCTTGATGCTTTGTTTCGTCAAGAGGTTAATCCTAAAAATATTGAGTTGCATATCCCGTATCTCCCATATGGTCGCCAAGATCGTGTATGTACTCAGGGTGAAAGCTTTGCATTGCAAGTATTCGCTAACACTATTGTAGCTAATGCATGGTTTTCAAAACTTGTAATGTGTGATGCTCATAGTTCTGCATCTTTGGAAGTGTTTGGTGCGTATATGTTTGAGGTTGAAAACAAACCCCAAGCTGACTGCGCTAAATACTTGCCTCGGTTTGATGCATTGATTGCACCAGACAAAGGTGCTAGTGAAAAAGTCAACACTCATTTTCAGGTCCGAGCTTTTGACACTAAAGTTTTTACACTCAATAAGTTTCGACAAGATGGTCGTGTGATCTATGAAGACTATGCTTATGATACAATCTCTGGTAAAGTTTGTGTAGTGGATGATATCTGTGACGGTGGTGCAACTTTCTTGTCTTTGGCTGAAATGCTCTGGCGTACACAACCAAACATCAAAAGTCTAAATTTGTATGTAACACACGGAATTTTTTCTAAAGGAGTGGCAGAAATTCTGAAATTGTATGATACAATCTACGTTCACAACTTGATGAACAATATGGTTCAAAAAGCACAATCAGTTACTGTTATTTAAAGGAGCAATATGACCTATCTCGATCCAATCACAGCTTGCGATTTCTACAAAGTAGGCCACAAAGCTATGTACCCAAAAGGTACAGAAGTTATTTATAGCAACTTTACACCTCGGTCTAACAAACTAGCACCTAATGCTGGTGTTAAGCCAACTAAAGTTCTCTTCTATGGTCTGCAAGGCTTTATCAAGTCTTTCCTGATTGAACAGTTCAATAACAATTTCTTCCGTAAAAGCAAGATTGAAGTTATTGCAAAATACAATCGCCGTATGGATGGTGCGCTTGGTCAAGGTGCAGTTGATTCTTCGCACATTGCTGCTTTGCACGATCTTGGTTATCTGCCAATTGAAATCAAAGCATTGCCAGAAGGTTCACTGGTTGATATCAAAGTTCCAGTTCTTACTGTCAAGAATACACTCCCTGAATTTTTCTGGTTGACTAACTATCTGGAAACAGTGTTCAGTAACGAACTCTGGAAAAAGATCACTACGGCTACCACTGCTTTTGAATACCGTAAGATTCTTACTCGCTATGCTAAAGCCACTGGTGCGCCTTTGGATTTCGTACTGTGGCAAGGTCACGATTTTAGTTACCGTGGTCTGAGTGGTGCAGATGATGCATCCAATGCAAGCGGTCACTTGGCGGCTGGTTTCTTTGGTACTGATACCATTCCAGCTATCGACTACGTTGAAGCCTTCTATGGCGGTTTTAATACGTTTGTTGGTGGTTCTGTTCCAGCTACTGAGCACTCTGTTATGTGTGCCGGTGGTAAAGAAACTGAAGAAGAAACATTCCGCCGATTGATCACTGAAGTGCATCCTTCTGGTGTAGTCAGTATTGTTAGCGATACGTGGGACTTCTGGCACACTTTGGCAGTTACCTCTGCTAATTTGAAACAAGAGATTCTGGCTCGTACTCCAAACGAAATTGGTTTAGCTAAAGTTGTGTTCCGTCCTGACAGTGGTGATCCAGCTGATATTCTTTGTGGTATCAAAGTACATAATGTAGATGAAGCTTATGATCTTGAATATGCCAAAGAGTTAGCAAAAGAGTTTCTTGTAGATGCTGAGTCTGCAGATACACCACACGGCGAAATGGGTGCTGATGAGGTATCAGGTTATTTCCGTTACAATGGTGCTGTTTATCTAGCTACAGTGCAGATCGAATGGAATCGTTACGATAAGCAGTATTATTTCATGGACGGTAGTACTCTGACAAGTTTCGAGCCAGTCGAACTAACACCTGAACAAAAAGGTGCAGTTGAAACTCTGTGGGACATTTTTGGTGGTACAATCAACGCCAATTACTTTAAGATGCTGAATGAACGTGTTGGCTTGATCTACGGTGATTCAATTACACTAGATCGTGCAACCGATATCTTGCAGCGTCTACAAGACAAGGGTTTTGCTTCAAGTAACGTTGTGTTCGGTATCGGCTCTTATACTTACCAGTACGTCACTCGTGATAGTTTTGGTTTTGCAATGAAAGCTACTTATGCTGAAATCAATGGAGCTGGTGTAGAATTGTACAAAGACCCTGTTACTGATAGCGGTACTAAAAAATCGGCTAAAGGTCTACTGCGAGTTGAGTATGAAGATACTGAATTCCAAGGTAAGCAGTTCGTTTTATACGATCAGCAAACCAAAGAGCAAGAAGCACAAGGTTGTCTACAAACTGTCTTTAAAGATGGTCGGATGATCAAAGAAACTAGTCTAGAAGAAATTCGACAATTAGTTACACAACAGCTTGACGATATGGTCTAAACTGTTGTATAATAAAGGTTAGCGAGTGTAGACTTGATTATTCTAAACTTATGTGTTATAATATCCTTTTAGGAGGAATTATGGCACATAAAAACAAAGAAGATTTATATCGCTATCAAATCAATCGGTGGAGAGAAATTAAAAAGAAGGCAGTCAATACAATGGGAGGTAAATGTTGTAGATGTGGCTTTGATGCACATCCTGCTGCATTACAATTTCATCATATTGATGCTCAAACAAAAGATGTTTCTTGGACTAAACTTAGATTAAGGAGTTGGGATAAAATTTTACTTGAATTGAAAAAATGTATAATGCTATGTGCAAACTGTCATTCAATAGAACATACAAATTCAAAATATGATTAATGCGAGTGTACCGGAATGATCTTCTACATCATAGTACCGTAATGGAGTCAATGGGGGTTCGAATCCCTCCACTCGCACCAAATTGGGTTGTGACTGTGTAAATGGCTAACAGGTACTTGTAACTCAAGTATGACAGCGGTTCGACTCCGCTACAATCCACCAGAATAGAAGCTGTAACTCAGTTGGTAGAGTCATTGGGCAGGTTACTGTCGATAGTATAGGTAAATTCGTACTAGGCGAGTCGAAGGTTCGAATCCTTCCAGCTTCTTCATAAAAATAGTCCCGCTTATGCCTGTTGCTCAAATCCCTAGAGTTAGCGGCACACTTCAAGCGAGGTAGGTGAAAGTCCTATCATTAAAAATAGATGTACTGATGGTGTGGTACACTAGGATGTCTAAAGCCTGAGGATTGTCGTCCAAGATACAAAAGACACTATAATACCAGTGTAGGGACTGGTGGTTATAGTAAGAGATAAAAGTGATGGTGGTGTGTCAGACTAACAAACGAGTGCTTCCCACATGCAGGAGTTGTGTTAGTATCTCTTACTATAACTAAGGAGTAGCAATGAAAAATCTATTGATTGGTTCTCGTGCGCTAGAGTACTGGAGTCCAGACTTTAAAGCTAAAGATAATTCCGATTGGGATATTATCAGTGAACACAAGATTATCGATGATACAAAACGCATCGAGCATCATGCATTTGATATCGTAGGTAACTATGATATGCTCAACTACGCTTCTGAACAGTTTGTTGAGATTGCTGGTAATCGAGTCTACATTGTCAATCCAATTGGTCTAGCAATTATCAAGCGCAGTCACTTGTGGCGTAATCTAAGTTTTCAAAAGCACATTACGCACTACCACAAGCACCTAAAGTTTTATAGTTTTATGTACACTGCAAAGGACCGAGAGATTCTAAGCAAACGCACAAAGCTTACAATGGCTGCTTACCCACAAGGTCATCCAAGTTTGAAGAAATCAGTTGAAGACTTCTTTGATGATTACGTTGAGAAGAAATACAATCATGATTATTTGCATGAACTTGTTGCGTATCACGACAAACCGTTGTATACTCAACTGCAACGTGATGCAAGCAGTGCATGGTGCGATAAAGATTTGTGGGATAAGCTTGCATTTGACGATAAACTCAAGTGCGTAGCCGAAGAGACACAAGTTATTGCAATTGAGCGTTTTCTCGTACCTAAAGATTGGGAATATCCTATTCGACATGCGTACCTTAAAGCTCTCGATAAAGTTTGTACTACACTTTGCAGTGGATGGTTTCGTGAATTCGCCATTGATCACTACCCAGAAGTATTTGACTTATGTGATATCTCAAAATTTGAAAAAGTTAAAGGAATTTTAAATGGATCGTAGAATAAAACATGGAATGTATGGAAGTCGAACCTACAATTCTTGGCAAACAATGATCCAACGGTGTACAAATCCTAACAACACTAATTATCCAAAATATGGTGGTAAAGGTGTAATTGTCTGTGATAGATGGTTACCGGAAAGTGGAGGATCATTTGAAAATTTCATTGAGGATATGGGTGTAAGACCACAAAACACAAGTTTAAATAGGATTGATTCGTCAAAGATTTATAGCAAAGAAACATGTGAATGGGCAAATGCAAATATTCAAGCATATGACCAAGTTGTCAGAAAAGAAAATACAACAGGTGTTGCTGGTGTCAGATGGAGAAAAGATCGAAATGTTTATGAGGCTAGAATAAGTAAAGACGGTAAGCAACTTTTGCTATACTATGGACCTTCACTACAAGATGCAATAAATGCAAGAATTGAAGCAGAAAAAATTTATTATCCTGAAATCTTAAATTTGTGTGATACAATAAGATTTGACAACATTAGAAAGGAACTGGAAAATGGCACGAACTAAAACTGTAACAGAACTGACAGTAGAGCAGCAGATCGCTCAGATTCAAAAAGAAGCTCAAGATAAAATCAAAGAACTTCGTAGCAAACTACCTTGGAACCAACGCTTTAAAACAGCATTTGCTGCTTATGTGAATGGGCGTACACATAAAATTGTAGAAGGTATGAATGGTTATCGTGTAGATGGTTCATACCTAAGTTCTATCAATGATTTTCTTAAAGATCAGAATTTATCTTTAGTTTATAATTCTGCTACCTTTGATAACGAACTGTACCGAAATACGTCAAATAATATTGATGATTTTGATCTAAGCGAATATCCTATATCTACTGTGTTTGCAGTCCTTGAAGGTACAGAAGTGAAAGGATACGTGCAAGTCAACTGTACCTATTCATCATATAATGGTAATGACTATAGTGGTTGGCATTTTGTTCAACCAAAAGAAATCACTTGCACAGTGTTTACTCAATACAACCCTTGAAAGGAAATGAGATGTTAAAAGATAAAGTTTTAGCTTTGCTTGCAGAAGCTGATAGTGATATAATCAGAGAATTCTTTCATGGAGAACTCGATGAAGTAACACGTTGGGACTCAGAAGAAATGACAGAGTTTCGTAAAGCACTTTCTGATGCAGATATTAGATTTGAATTCGTAGATCGTTACGGTGGTGAAGATCAAGGTTCTGATTACTGGTCTGTGTATTCATTCAATGATAGTAATGAAGTTGTATTCATTCAATTCCAAGGTTGGTATGCTTCCTACGATGGTTCTACCTTCGATGAATTCTATCAAGTACAACCTGTAGAGAAAACAATTACTGTATTTGAAAAGAAATAAGGAGTTAATATGTCACTTAAAGAAACTTTAGTAGTTATTCTAGGTCAGTTATCCGATTATGAAAAAGAAAACTTTATGGATGGTTATGGACCAAAAGAACTATTTGAGAAAGAACTAATCACTGTAAAACAAGTAGACAGTTACGGTGGTGAAGATATGGGTTCAGAATATTGGTCAGTATACTCTTTTACTAAAGACAATGAAATCGTCTATGTTAAATTCTATGGTTGGTATGCATCTCACGTTGGCTCAGAATACCAAGGATTTAATATCGTTACTCCAGAACAAAAGATAATTACAGTTTATGAGTAATAGTCGTAAGATGCAGGGAACTTTAAAACAGTTCGATGCATCCGAACATGCTATCTATGACGTAGCAGGTAAAACTGCTATGTTAACTTACCTCAACAAGAAGATACAAAAGTACAAAACTATTGAAAATCCAAACAAGTACGGTATCGATTTGCTAACTCTGGATGAAAACAATAAGGTTCATTTTTGTTGGGAGCTTGAGGTAAGACATGGTAACTGGAAAGAAGATACAGCGTTTCCCTTCAAAGAAATCAACTGCATCGAAAGAAAAGATTACCAATGGCGGCACGATCAGGAGTTTTATGATAAAATTCCATTTCAAGTTTCCAATAGCTGTATTGCTTACTATGTACAACTAAATAAGCAATGCAACCGTGCAGTAATCATTAGGGACTCAATCATCTTGCAACATGAGTTAAAGCCTTGGGCAAATCGCAAAGCTGATAACGAATACGTAAGACAAGTTCCAGTGACAAGTGCAACCGAAATAGATTTGCGACAGTAGCTCAACGGTCAGAGCAGGGTACTCATAATGCCTTGGTCGGGGGTTCGACTCCCTCCTGTCGCACCAAATTTATGTTGACAAGGTTAAACCTTTTTGATATAATAGCAAATGTAGCGAAAGTTACATAGTCGTGCATTATCCTAATCGCACATTTTAGTCCGTAAGTAAATCAGTCCTAGAAAGGAAAAGATATGAATAAATTAACAGGTATGCTTCTATACGTCCAACTAAACAAGCCAGTCAAGGCTTATGTTAAAGCTGGTGAAGACCCTAAACCAGACGAATGGAAAGCGTCTATTGCACTAACTGATGAAGATACAGTAGACGAGTTCGAAGCTTATGCTAAGAAGATCGATGCTAAGGTTTCTTTGAAGAAAGTCAAGAAAGATGATTTCGAAGAAGTCTACAAAGTAGCACCTCCAGAAGATGCCGGTAAGAATATTTGGGTTGTTACCTTGCGTAAATCAACTCAGCTTGGTAAGACTGGTAAGCCAGTTCCAGAGCTATATCAGCCTAAAGTATTTGAGAAAGTCAAGAATACCTTGGTAGATGTTACTCGCACCAAACTACCTGCGAATGGTTCTATGGGTTCTATCAGTATTGATGTGTTCACCCGCACCAATGGCAATAGTTCTTTGTATCTAAAGAACGTTCTTGTTACCGACATGATCGAGTACGTAGCTGACGAAAGTGCTGCATACGTTCCCGGCGATGAATTCGGTGAAGGTGCAGAAGCTCCAGTAGAGGACGCACCAAAGGAAAAAGCAAAGCCAAAAGCTAAAGCTGCTCCAGCCAAAGACGAAGCTGAAGAAGACTCACCGTTTTAATCATAGGGGCTTCGGCCCCTCCTTTAACCTCTAGGAGAATTTAATGACAAAAACCACAAAAGATATTTTGACTATCCTTTTTACTCTTGCCCTTGCATGCCTATTGATCGTTTTCGGTCCTTTGGCTGTAGTCTGGTCACTTAACACGCTATTTCCAGTATTGAGTATTCCTTACACCTTCTATAGCTGGTTAGCTGTGATCGTAATGAATCTCACATGGATGTACAAACCAAATATTACGAAAGGTTAATATGCAA